TGCGGTTGGGCGGGTGGCCGAAGCCCAGGTAGAGGTCGACGGGCAGGGGGGCATCGGGCTGCACGTGCACGAGCAGGGCGTCCTTTGCCGACGTGAGGTTCAGCTCCACGTGGAAGTGCTGGGCGCTGAGGTTGAGGCACGTGGGGAGCGGCGCCGCGGCCTCGTCCCGCCACAGCCCGACCTGCAGGGGCAAGTGCAGGCCAGGGCTGGGGCCCAGGGCCGGGGATGGGCCCCTCCAGGCAGTGCCCGCGGGGCCACACCTCAATCTCCTCGCGCAGGCCGTGCACGTCCAGGGCGCCATGGGCCGAGGTGAGGGAAACGCCGCCCACGCTGCTGATCTCCGTCCCGTCCAGGTGTTTGAAGGGGTTGAGGGCCAGGGCTGTGAGCTGCAGGCAAAGACACCCTGAGCTGCCCGCTCCAGGGGCAGCTGGCAGCACCGAGCCTACAGCCGCTCTGGGGCTTGCAGCACACACTGAGCTCGGTCTGGGGAGAGCGATAGGCCTGGGCACCGTGCGCCAGCCCACCTGGAGCTGCACCTCGAGGTGTGTGGGCAGGAACGTGGCCAGCACCGAGGCTGTCGGGAAGGTCACGTCCAGCGGGCGTGGCTGGGCCAGGCGGTGTGAACTTAGGGGCAGGCAAGTGATGCCACAGCTGCAAGGGAGGGACCAGGTCCATGCATGGCACCGGACCTCACCCCTTCCCAGACGTCCATGCTCCACCGCAGCACCCCGGTACCTGCTGAGCTGTGTTGCCACAGTGGGCGCGCTCACGGTCACAGGGGTCCCTGTGTTGTGGCTGTGCCACAGCATCGTCTGCACAAGGGGCAGCGCAGCCAGGGTGTCCTCCAGGGCCTGCAGCACGTGGCACCAAGAAGAGTGGTCACTGGCGCTGCCACAGGCGGCATCCGGCCGGTCCTCCCATCGTCGGGAGGCGTGAGGGAGAGCCCCAGCAGGGGCAGTGGGGCCAGGCGCTGCCAGAGGCTGGGCTGGAGGGTGTTCGCCCAGTCTGATGCCCCGTCCCAGCCCCTGGGACCTACCTGCTGCAAGGCTGAGCCAGGGGGGCCTGCGGTGGAGTCCAGCGCCATCAGGATGTTGCTGAAAGCCTGGAAGAGGGCGGTGGCAGCCGTGGTGGCGCTGCCGGCCGGGTGGCTGCTGTTGCAGGGTCCGGGAGTCTGCAGCAGCTGTGAGCTCAGGTGCAGGAGTGACGCGCTGGCCTCTCTCTGGGGACGTGGAGCTGGGTGGGTGGGGGGAGCTCGGGCAGCCAGGGCCCTGGAGCAGGCACCCCGCCCCAGCCCCCGCTGTACCTGTGACGCCGGGGACAGCAGCGGTGGTGCCTCCGTCAGGCGCTGGAGGATGCGGCAGGCTTGCTGCAGCTCCGGGAGGCAGCGGATGCCACGGACGGCCTGGCCAAAGCCCAGCACCGCATCCTCCACAGCCTACAGGGCCCGAGTACGTGGCTGGTCAGCCAGTGCTTGGGGCTGGGAGCAGCAGGGCTGGAGAGGCCCCCACCACCCCAGCTCCAGAGACCTGGCCAGGGAGAGCACGCGGGCTGCCGGCCCCTACCTGTGTTGCCAGCCCTGCCGGGAGGCTCTGGAGCAAAGCCCGAGGACTGAGCGTGAACTGGCCCAGGACAGAGCCGGGTGGGGGGGCCGGCAACCCTGGCGTGGCTGCTGGCACGCCCTGCCCTGGCCACGAGGAGGCGGGCACTTTGGGGGTGGGCCGCACGGTGAAGTGGGTCATGGGTGGGGGGGTGAGGC